CACGAACATTTCGATGAAAATATCGGAAGCAAAAGCGCAACTTTATCACTCCTACTATTAAAGCAATCCTTAATTAAAGTCGCGTCTGTGGTTTTGGTTGAACTGAAATAAATGTTTCCTTCCGGCATCAGGCTTGTCATACTATTACACGAAAACACTCATCCAAACCCAAGCACCCATGTAAAGGCTATACACATGTATTTTTGCACGTACACACATAAACACATGCGCACATTGTTCAATGGCATTTTGCACTTACCTTATCTCATTGCTTGTCTGCTGCCTTTGGCTCTCAACTACCTTTTTACATATGCACGTGCTGAACTTTTGACCAAGGCCCACTGGTGTGACATTAGCCGAGAGAGCGGTGGGGAGGGAGAGAGGGAGCCAGCGTCTATAACAAGTTGCTCAGAGCTTTGGGCCTTGTCTTGCAAGCCAGTGGGGTAATTTCACAATATAGCTAAGGGGTTGTTTAGTGCTTTAAATGTGACTCAGTCCCTGCTCCCTTTCTCATCAAACTTCTTCCCCTGTCCTGCATTTCCCTCTGCTCCCCCCAAGCCTTCTCAAGCAGCTGGCACTGGAGCTGCAAGCCATCTCCCAGCTCTTGAAGGATGTCTCCCTGCTCAGTTAATAAGGGTCCCACTTCACCTGTTCACCATGGGGATGGACATTTAATGAAGTGCCTAACAAGTGGTTCCACAGACTTGCGTTAACTGTCCTCCAGTTGCCTCCCCCCCCCCCATGCCTCCCTCTCGCATCTCCTACTGCCCTCCAATCTCAGAGGGTGAACCTCTGTGCGCAGCGCCAGCGTGAAAGAGGATTTCCCAGGCAAGGCATTGTTAGGCAGGAAGTGGTAAGGGAGGAGGAAAGGGACTTTCACTTGTGAAACTGGGAGACATGGCGGCGGTGCCACGGTGACAGCCGTGTGGTGCCGTGGTCGCTGGGGCGGAACACAGTGGGCAGAGGTCCTACACACCAGGCCCCCTCAGTCGCCTCCAGAGCAAATGAGCTGCCAGGCCAGACTAATGGAGTCCTAATTGGTGATTAGGAGGGAGGGAAAGGTTAGGGAGTGTCTACTGGCAGTCCGCTGTTAGCAGGATGAAGCAGCAGGCTGCTGTATTTACTAGTTCAGTGAAACAAAACAGCAATTACTGTTTTTATGCAGATGTGTCACTGTTTACTGCACTAGCTGCATCCCATAAACAGATGCTAGGAAGACAACTATAAACTGTAGTTAAATAAACACATCAATAAATAATACCATTATTTCTTACAACACAAATTGAGGAAGAGTTAAATGATATTAAATAGAGCATTCCTCCTTAACAGTTTTCATGTTGCTTGAGTGATGTGGCCTGAGTGTTGTCATGTATTTTAGTTATCTGGATCAAACGAGGTTGAAGCCAAACAAATAACTGTAGAAGGGTATTCATCAATCAGTGCTCATCACAAGGGACAGAGCTTTGGTGAGCATCATGTGATTGAATCTGAGAAAAAATGGGGCACTTAAACACTGATCTCTACCATCAACCTCTATATAAATATGAAGAAAGGGCCCTAAGGTGTGGATAGTGTTTCCCATTTACTTAATATGGTGCAATGAAGAGGAAAGGGGAAGTTACATCCTGACGGAATATCAACTACTGAAACAGGACCCTTTCCCCATTTTCTGAATGACACTATAAGGCTGAGAGTTGTAGGGGCTGCTTTTGTGAATGGACGAGATACTGATTTGGTAGATAGGGTGACGTCTGCAGGGATCCAGGGCCTTGTGGGCTAAAGAGGACGAGCTGTGATGACTGCCTGTCTGCTTCCTGCTACTAATCCACCACATTAGCTGTGTGTGTTACCCTATTTATAGCCAGGCCAGGATGTGAATAGACTGTCTAGTTTCACTTTTCATACAGATGGTAATTTTAGTCTTCTTTTGCTCCACATCTCGTCCCTCTCCTTCACTGAGAGTGCTGATGGGATGAAGGATAAAGCACTTCACATTGCCCCTTCATGGTGTGTTGTCTGGACAAAGTTAATGTGGTTGCAGTTATTGTGATTTCATTGAACAGATGCAAAAAATGCGAGCTGTAACGGCTTTAACGGACACACAGTGCTCCTATGTGCAATTCAATGCAAACTTTGTCAAACATTACATTTTTAACAGCTTAGAATATTGCTTTAATGAGGGCATTAAGTTCTGTGGTTATTTCTGAATTCTATGCTTTTTTAGGTGTTTTTATTTAAATGTTGTATTTATATTTTTCTAATAATCATATTTATTGTCAAAACTAAAACTAGTAAATCCGGGCCATATCACGTTAGACTGGTTTATCTATTTTTTTATATTTTATACGTTTGTCTCTCTGACACACACACACACACACACACACACACACACACACACACACACACACACACACACACACACACACACACACACACACACGTGCGCACGCACACGCAAGTAAACCTTTTTAGTAATATTACTGAAGTGAACTGTCTCTGTAACTGAAACTAGACTAAGTTGTGTAAGAATGCCACTGTTGCAGTCATCCTGGGAATGCCAAGTAGTGGGGTGGCTAATGTATGTGAACCTCTTAATTAACTGGCTAGATATTTAGTCTAGATATTATTTTATGCACCCCTTTTCAGTCTACACAGCATTTCTTTTTTCCACCTCTATCTTGGAAGAACCCCTCTTGGCACATCTGTGGCCGATTAATCAAAAACGTTTTTGAGGATCTTCAGGGGGGCTTCAATTTTGTAATCATTTAGGTGTGGGAAAATGTTATGGGTCACCACCCACAGCCTTGAGGTCCACCCAGAACACTCTTATTTTTGTGTTCCACTTAAATCTTAGGTGGAGAAGCAACGAGAGAGCCCTTTCACATAGATGGGCACACGGGTATAAGAGCACACAGACCGTGTGTGTGTGCACACAAACTAGAAAAGCCAGCAATCCCATTTGCTCATATTGACATGGGTCTCCCCGTTCAATCTTGTTACAAGGATTATTGTCTATTGAGATCCCATTTCATTAGCCTACAACACACACCTCAGGGTGCACAATAGGGCTGCTGCAGGGGCACCGGCTTTTAGCTTCTTTGCAGGTTGGGAGGGGGAATTTCGTAAGTGGTTTTACTGAAGATCACTGTACTTCAAAGTTTGTATCAGTTAATGCACAATGTACACTTAATATGTGGCTATAGGATGAGACATGTCCAAGTTCCAAGGAAGCACAACAGGAGTCTGCAGTTCATGCGCAGTGGGTGGAGTACTGTGGTCAGATATCTTCCTCACTGCTCTATAGAAAGGCCTGTTCTTGAATTGTATCCAAAATGCATATGAGAAAGCAACCCGACACCCTCCCCATGGCCCCACTCCAGATTACGTATTGATTCTTGATATGAAAAGCTCATTACATAAACAGAAACAGCAACACAAAAAAGCCAGTGAACCTTTGCATAAATCCTTTAATTGAATTTCCAGTGCCGGTGGTTGGAGGTTCTCTTTTTAATTGAATCCATTGCTGGTGTTGTGATTTGCATGCATGGGAGAGGGTCCTGTCCCAGATAAAGTGCCATTGATCCTTATTAAAGCTCACCTCTGGCCGCGCTGTGGACTAACAGGGAAAATTAAATGTGTTCATGGTGCATATACTTACTGGCCGCAGGCAGGACTGTGAGAACCGACACAGAGAAAAGGAGAATGAAAGCGGGAAGCAGAGAAATTGGAATTATCATAATATTAATTTTCTAAATGATCTCAGCTTTGGTCATTTTTATTAAGCCAATTTACATAAGGAATTATTTTGAGCTCTCCTCAGCAGCTTATGAAACACAACTGACCTCTTGTAGCAGATTGGCAACTGATCAGATAAACCAACAAAAGTGCCTCACAGATGTAACTACAACTCATGATTGAATTACACACTTCTTTTGTCTCACATTACTTCTCTATTATTTTTGTCATAATCTCTGCGGTGTATTATATTATTATTATTATAGATGTGAATAAGCACCTGTTGGTTTAGCAGTTTATTGAAAAAAGAAGGGAAGTGTGTTATCTATCTTGATTCGGCCAGTGATATCATGTGTGATCAATGGGCTGATTGAGCATTGATCAGCGTTTCCTCTTGTTTTGGCGGAGGGCATTAGTGACACTGAGCGTTACTATTGGATTTCTTAGAAGGAGGATACAACAGGAAGCAGGCGGCTTGCAACACCTTATCAATGCAACATAGACAGGTTGGCTGGAGAAGTATCATTCTTTTGTGCTGTGTCTGTTATGTTTCTCTAAGTGATCGTCGCTGCTTATTGTCTAATAATTGGTCCAATGTTTAATTCCTGCTCGTAACAGCCTCGTCTCTCCACCTCGGTATCTGCACGGACTGACTTTGAAGTGAACAGATTGAATAAGATCAATGTAAATACGCATCCTGTGGTGTTTTCATTTTAATCAAACAGTTTTGTTTGCAGTCATTGTTTTCTTAGCAAAAAAAGCCATCTGAGTTTCCTCAACAAATGGGTTGAATGGATTTGCAAAGCTTTTCATGTATGCTTTGAAACAGTAATGTACTTTGTTGGTTTCAAGAGGCCACAAAAGATAATTTAAATAACAATAGCTCCAATACACCATTATACTGTAAACATTGGATTAAACTCGTATTTTATCTCCACTGTGAATTGAGAATTTTTCCTTTGGGCCAAGTGCTAACCCCCATGCACAGTGATTGCCACTCAGGTAAAATGTTAATATTGTCTTTTCCTTCGGTTTTCTGCTTTTTTAATGTGTGTGTGTGTGTGTGTGTGCATGCGTGCGTTACAATATATTTTGAATAAGAGCTTATGTGATCAATAGAGCGATGGAGTCCATTCTGTGTGTCAAATTGTCCCTGGCAGTAATACCATTACTGTGTAACACCAACATACTTACATAATATCATTTGTATTTGACTCAAACATGTATGACAGACTGACTTTTAATGGTTTTAAATGTATCCACAGGGTGCCCACCTGCGAATGGCTCCATGGAGAGGCCTTTCGGTAGCGGAAGACTCAGGTAATGAAGTTCACTAAGTCACTAAGAGTGCCTAATAATTTATTTTATTTTTATATCAGAGGTGAACTTTCCATTGAAAACTCATTAATATGTAATATGACGTTACTCTTGACACTTGGTTAGTCCATGTTGTCATATTGGCATTTGACTTATGTTCTACTGGCTTCTTTAATTGTTTTAACAAGAACATGAAGATCACTTTTGTGAGACATGATGAGTGCCTCTCTTTTTGCTCACCTTCTCATTATCTGGGGCCGGTGGAATCTTATATTGTACCGAAGGTTTTCAGTGACTATCTCTATACCCCTGGGACACCATCATCACTCAGCTATCCCCACCTGGCACAGAGTGGCAGCAGTTGCACACGAGCCTGCTGATATAATAAGAGAAATAAGGCATCGCTAATGGAGGCAAATAGTGGAAACATGTTCCATCAGAAGTGATTACTACTAATTAAGCTGTTTTCACAGCTGGCTGCCTTGCTTTAATATGCATGCTTGCATCATATAAAGCGCTGAGAGAAAAGGCACGGAAATGCTTAGAGATCCAGTTAAGTCACAGAACAGTGATTAAATGGATGAATATTACTCACAACAGACAAACACCAGCATTATCAAAATGATGTGTTAATCATTTCCTTATGCAGAAAACAAAGGGAGAGTTAGAAGACAGATTAACAATATTTAAGAGATGGAAAGAAAAGCAGACATGACAGGACCTTGGAGAGTGAATGTGTGGTCTTGGTGCTGCCCCCCCCCTCCCCTCCTGTCTGTCTGTGGCCAGTGTTGAGTGACCCCTCTGTAGTACTGAGGCCTGCGAGACCCTCTCTAACAGATGACTGATTGTGCTCCTCCACTTTGTGTGGGCCGCTCAGCAGCGCATCAAAGACCAGCCTGGCTGCCAGGGAGCGACTGTTGTTCGCTGGGGCTCCAACACTGATGTTTTTCTTTCACACAAAAGCAGTTAGCAGCCAATAATCCTCCGCTCTTGAGTGGTTTAAATACCCACAATCCCTCACACTGGGACTGTCATGTACCTGTTCCCTCATGCCCTGCTGGGGAATAGAGAGGATAAAAAGTGGGAATGGTGGCAGATTAAAGATTGAGAAATTAGATTTAAGCTTCAAGAATCAGAGGGGCGTGACGTCAACAGATGTCTTTATATGTATCATATACAAAATGGAAGTTTAGTTGAAAACACTTTATTTGTACAACTTTTTTGTCTTTGATTACATTTGATATGTTTTCACATGACATGGTTGATGTGCCATTTTATATGCACAGTTGTTGTTATAATATCAGCTTCCTTACAAGCCCAATTATTCTAAAGTCGATTGTTTAATCAAATAATATTGAGCAGAATTGTAAATTGTTTTTTTAGTGATGTGTTATTGTTCATGGCACTTAACTTCAGTCTTTGGTGGCTGTGTTTTCCTTCCTCTTTGTGTATATTGAGAGAATGGATTAATCACGTTTGGGGAAGTGAGATCAGAATGAAAGAAAGCCCCTTACAGCCTGTCTGGGATTTCTTTCTTTGTTATAGTGGATTGTTTTGTTCAATACTGCCAAACCAGGCGTGAGGTCTTTTAAGTACCCCTGTGCCATTTAAAACCGCAGCAGGGAAAGAAGTTGTCCCCCGTTCTGGAATTACAACTTTCGTCTCCACCCGTTTAAAGAGACTCTTATTTGCCTGTCTGTACTACGGTTAGGAGATCAAAGACACTTTAGATTTGGATGCCTTTGATTCAAAGAGAGAGCTTTAATTGAAATAAAAAGGGGGATGAGACTCAGCTAATAGTTATGCTCAGGCATGTATCATAACGTATTTTGGTTGCATTGTGTGGCTTCTTTCTTAAGGCCTTTTAACTGACAATGAAAGGCACCTCTTATAATTGTCCATGTGGTATTTGAAAATTAAGTGTAACAAAATTATTCATGAACGGTGTAGGTATCCTTTCACTTATTGGCAAATCATTCTCTAGGAGATTTGTTAAACTTTACTGCCAATCTTTTCTATAAGCCCATTTAACATTTCGCAGCCATTACCATTTCTCTCCATCTATTCTTGCTTTGCCATGTTGCCCCCACCTCTGCCCCATGTCTGCAGGTGTTTTATGGTCGTCTGGGAGGTGGGAGAGGGGTTGTTTGCCAGGATGGTGCAAGCATACCAACACATTTCATTCACACAAGCAGGGAACACAAGTGCAGAAGCAAAAACACAAGGGAACACAGTCAAGTGAAGAAATACTGTATCATTCTGTTATAGTTTTTCTGGAGTGTTACCATTGTGTATTGATTGTTGTTTATTCCTGCTTTCAGTTAAAAAATGATAATATGTGTTTACGATCTGAAGTCCAGTGTTTTGCACTCTTAATTAAATTAAAATAATTAATTCCCCTAAAATACGTACAAATATGTATGAATGAATATGAATATTAAGGAATGGTGCCATAAGTAAGATTGTTTCATTTTTCTGACGCGCCACCTAATATAAAGATGGCAATCCTTTGTTAACCCTCAGTAAACAAGTGGACTGTTTATAATGTACATTTAATACGAAAACCTATAAGGAGGGCTTTAAGTTAATGCATAACAAACTTATTTTGCCCTTACCCTGGGGTCATGCACTTACAATGGTAACATCTATAATGAATATGTCTTTGGTTATTGATGCCTTGCTGATCAGAGCTCCTTCACCTGTCCAGAGTCCAGTTCAGTATTTCTAGGTGGCATGTGTTTGATCGGCCATGATGTTACAACAGATGTACAGTGTAGGACATTTTCTTCACCCTGAACCAGCAGTGGAGAAGTGTAGCTGTCATATTAAACCTCTGTGCTCACTCACTTAGCTCGCCACACTCTCCGGGGCGCCCCTGTTTGTCTACACCACTGTTCCGGTTCAGTAGAGAGAGCAACAGGGAGACGTGAAGCTCAATGTGCATTCCTGTCAAGAACTCCTTCACGGATCCTGTAAACCATCCTCACGCACACAAACGCACACGCACACGCACACGCACACGCACACGCACCACACACACACACACACACACACACACACACAGACACACACACACACACACACACACACACACACACACACGTCTTACCTCTGAGAAGCCGTCGGTGAGTCTGCAGTCGTCTAATGCTGGAGGCATGCTGGCTACACTTGCATTAACCTACTGTGGTTTCATTCATTATTGTTCTAATTAATACATTTTAAGCCTTAATAAGGCCCCCTGATCACGGCGGCAATGACTGTTATAGTTGAATAACGTTAGTGGATTAATATTAAAGCATTCTGTGGTAGTTAGGAGGTTAATAAGGACAGTCTTTGAGGTTTGAAGTGATTGCACTTCAATGTGATATTTCTGCTGAGTGTGCTGGAAAACACATCAGTCTGCTTTTAGTGTGATGGCCTTTGTTGAGGAAACAGATGCAGCGGCACACCAATAGAGGGCATTGTTGTTTAACTACAGGCAAAGCGAGCATATCCTTTGTTTATATAGGTATCCATGGGCGCTGTTGTTTTTCTTTGAGTCTTTCTTCTTTTCTTCATTTAGGACCACTGAATATGATGTGTTTTGTTTGAATACTGATTTGAGTGTCAATGTATCAATGTCATATTCTTTCACTATTTGTCAGCAAATGCAATGGCTAAACACACTCAATCTTTAGTTGTTCTCTACCAAATTAAATTACTTATTATATTATATTTGATATGAGATGCAAATTAAAAGGATTCATTTCATCAAGCTGCAACCAATCCCCCTCTAAAAGGAATAAATGAAATGTGTTTTTCTTTCACATATTTCAAGGGAGATATTAAATTATGTAAATAAAATTACGTTTTTTCTTTTTTGGCACAGGTTTTATTGTAGATGTACAGTTTTTGATTTGCAGTTTATGTTATTGGAACTTGAGGAATACAAAAAGGGAAATATGACTGGTTCTGTCAGCCTGAAGCTTGGATAGGTTCTTCTCTTTGAACAGGCCTGCTAGTGGCAGGTGAGGGAATGCAAAACAACTATTTAAAAAAAAAGATAATGTCATCTGTCTAGGGTTAAATAGTCCTAATAAAAACATTGTTGCATTTCATTTGTAAGGTATTCTAATAAATGATGTTTGTGCCATGTGTTTCAACCTCACATAGTTAACGTTTCAGAATAACCCTCTTTAACACACACAATGTACACACTGTTGCAAGCACACATGCATATTAGAAAGAGCAATCCCCCCTGTCAGTTAACCTCGGCAAAACAAGAGAAAGAACAATCTAACCATAAAATAAGTCAAATGCAGAACAGATCCGTTCAGCTGGCTTCTAACATCACATTTATGGTGTTGCTGTTTATTTTCGGAGATTTGACATTTTCTTTATTTCTTTTCTGTGACCATTTTCTTCATGATCATTTTATACGACTCTTCTGTTTGCCCTTTTAAAAGGATAGTCTGTCTTCACTATATCATTGCCGCTTTGATATATATTCATTTATATTGCTTAATAAATATTGATCATTTAAGACTATATGGAAAGTTGGGAAAGGGCACCAATTATGATCACATAGGAATGCTTAGGAATAAAAGTAGATTTTTATTCTGCTCTTAACATTTCTGTTAAATTCATCATTAGCTGACAAATAACTTATTGATAAACCAGGAGCTTGTGTTTCATAAACGGATTCCTCAACTTTACTTTTTCTAAAACATCTGAAAAAGCTGAAATAATATGAGTCACCTCATTGGCCAAAAGGACAAAACTCATTCACTCTAATTTTAACACAATTGATGAGCATTCAATCACATGGATGCCAATTTATTGATTTAGGGGAATGCACAAAAGAAAGGATTTAAATCCTGGCCGATAGCCATTAACAGTGAATCAGAAGATAGACGGGTGATTGGTCATAGCTCACAAATGGCAGGAAATCCATCTCTCCTTGTTCATTCCTCCTTTTTATTTCTACAGGTTCCCACAGATTTTGCACACCAGAGAGTCCGTTC